CTCTGCCTCTGCCTCTGCCTCTGCCTCTGCCTCTGCCTCTGCCTCTGCCTCTGCCTCTGCCTCTGCCTCTGCCTGCCTGTCTGACTGTCTGTCTCTGTCTCTCTTTTTTTCTTGTCCCTTCAAAAACTTAGTGGCAGTGTCATCTGCTGATATGCCTCAGGTTTCATTTACTCATAACTGAACTTGTGCTAATCATTACTTTGGGAAATGCTTCTCAAATGACTGCTTTGAGCGTATCTGTTTCTGGTAAATGTTTTGTCAATCATTGTAATGTATCCCTAAGCCATTTTTTTTGTGGCAGCAGGAGGAGAGTGTTTTTTTTTTTTTCCTAAGAAGAGGATTTCTGCATAAAATTAAAGGGCATGCACTTCTGAATTACTTGAAATAGTTTTGGAGCTGATAAAGGACTCTTGGGCTGTAAATGATACAATAGAATTTGAAAGCTGATTATATTATGGTGATGGTGTACATACATATCAAAGTTTTAAAAATTCAAGAAGAGTGCTGGTCAGATGGCTCAGCAGTTAAGAGTACCAACTGCTCTTCAGGAGGTCATGAGTTCAAATCCCAGCAACCACATGATGGCTCACAACCACTGGTAATGAGATCTGATGTCCTCATATGGGTGTCCGAAGACAGCTACAGTGTACTTTGACCCAGAGCTAGCAGGGCCAGAGTGAGCTGGAGGAGGGGGGATACAGAGTGAGCAGGGGTCAGGAGAGAGCGGGACCAGAGCAAGAGGGAAACTTTTTAGGGGGTGCATTATTAAACATTTTGCTTTGATTACTGAGTTAATTCTGCTGTTTCACAGTGACCCAGTCTAGCTTTGTGCAGTGATAGTATCGTAGCCAATGAAGTTTATCTGAGGCACACTTATTGCTAATTGAAAATTTTTCACAGTGACCCAGTCAGTGCTTTTCAAGGAGATAGTTTTACCTTCCTAATTTAGGTTGAATTGGAAAATAGAATATACACCACACACACACACACCAATTAGTGTTGACCTTATCTGCATGTGTTTAAGGCTTATCACTTAGCTTAGCATGGGACTCTCATCCCTGAAAGGCAGAAACAAAGCAAAATAGAACAAAACAACAACCCCAAGAAGAAAAAAACACCCACAGTCTTCCTTTGCAAACAGTCATTGATTCCCTGTAGCTCTTCAATCAGAGGTGGGGCTTTGTGAAAATATTCTCCATCCAGATTGGCATGTTGGTTGGTGTGGTACTTACAGGTCTTGTGCAGGCAAGCATATTGTTCAGACTTTATGAGAGCAACACCTCTGTCCTGTCCACAGGAAATGATCACACAGTTGTACCAGTTCTTAGGTTCCTAAGAGTCTTCCTGGCCTCTCTCCCACAATGCTCTCTAAGTACAAGGGCTGTGTGACATATTTCCAATTTGAGACTGGCCACACCATGGTCACTCTCTGAGTTTTGACTGGTGTGGAACTCTAAAAATCTCCATCTGCTGCAAAAAAAGAAAGTTCTTTGATGAGATGCAAGAGCTGCACTTATCTGTGGATATAAAGATGAGTGTTTACAAAATAACTGGAAAATATATTCCTTTGAAAATATGGTAGTGATAGGGTCTTCTCTGGGGCCTATGACCTCTCCAGCCCTAGGTTCTTTGGTAGATTTATACACGAGTTCTCTCCAATTGACTTTTAGGCTAAATTGGACAGTCATTGGCTGCCCCCAAGATATAATTATGGCACTATTACATGACTGGTGACATAGCACTACTCTCATTGTCACTGTGATTCTCAAGCTTTATAGCAGGGTAGGACTATTAATTTCATTTCTTGCTTGGAAGCTTGCAAAGTGCCTTCTGATGTGTTGAGAGCTAGCTGTCAGAGAGGAGGCTTCCAGGTTAGTAACAGTTCGATTTACTCAAGTTCTGTGAGCAATGTGTGTGCTTTCTTCAGCAATAACATCTTACTTTCATGTCTGGGAGACAGCTGAGTGTAATGGCAATAGCTTGTATTGTTTTGGCTGTCTCTTTGATTCCCCCTGACAAACAACTCAAAAGGAGGTATCCATTCCTGACACTGGGATAAATAAAACAGTACTTAAAAAAAAAACTTGGTTTGTTCCATAATCTGTAGTTTGCTTACTACTGTCGTTTATAAAGCAGTTGGTTTAAAAATATTAACTATTGCAGTACAGGGGATTGAACCTAGTGCCTTGAAAATGCCAGGTAAGCGGTTTATCACCAAGCTCCATCTTCAGGTGCCAAGTCATTTATTGATTTTAGTGATGGAAATGGAATTGAGAGCCTCATACCTCTAGGTGAGCCCTCTGAACTTCCCACCCTCTATGAGGAGTCATTTTGAGGAAAGTTCCTTAGTCCACCAAAAGAACCTAGGCAGAGGAATTATTTAGACAGCCTTCTGAGAGAGCTTGAGCCATATTGCCCTGAATTTACAAAGAATGTTGCTACTGAGACTAGTAACCAGATGTGTTGTACTGCTTCCCAATGGTGAAGTAAACACCTATGCTTGCTGTGTGCCCAAGGTAGGACAAGGGTTAGGGGTGGAGTGCTTGCCTCGCTTACTGATATTGAACTGAAAAGAGTCAGCCAGGAAGGCTAGACTTCAACAGGAATGATTCTATGCATAACTCAGGAGACCTGGGCCAGGGTGGGAAGTAGCTCAGAAAAACAAAAAACATGACCAGACACTCTAATTTCTAAACTAAGATTGTGTTTAATTAGAGAGATTATTTTTAAAAAAAAAATCATTAAAACATCTTTACTAATAGTGATTTTAAAATAATAAATCAAGTACAAAAAATCCCTATATTCTCACATAAATGTGGAATTCAAGAAACTGAATTCATAGGAGCAGAGGCACTGGACAAAGACTACGTGGTGATTACTAGGAATATGTTGAAAATGGGTGATATTAGTGAAGGGATATGATGCCCCTGTTAGACAAGAGGGTCTATTATGTAGTATGGTGATTATGGTTAATAACAAAGTAGCACATTATTGAAAACTGCAGGCTGGCATGGTGGTGCACATCTTTGATTCTAGTAATTGGGAGGCAGAGGCAGTCGGATGCCTGTGAGTTCTAGGCCAGCCTGGTTTACTTGGTGAGTTGCAGGACAGCCAGTGCTACAAAAGGTACACTGATTTAAAAATAACAACCCAAAACAGAGAGAGAGGGTAGGGGGGAAGAGAGAGAGAAGAGAAATGCTAGGAGAATTTCAAATGTTCTTATAACAAACCATAAGCTTGTGAAACAAGTATATTACTCAAGTTAATTTAGTCATCCAATAATGTATATGTATTTCAATATCACATTGCATATCATAAATTCATATTTGTCAATTAAAAGTAAAGAGTTAACTGATAGATTATGGAGGTAAGTTTTATTCAGAAGGCAGGGGGAAAACTGCCCCCAGCAAGATTCTAGTGAGACTATAAGGACAAAAACAAATTGCATATTTTGGTTTGATTTTATTTGGCAGATGTTTTAGAATAATTTCTTGACAACACAGAGGGAAGAGTAAGAAGAACTCTATGTATCCATTGCACAGAAATAGCCATGTGAGGCTCAGCCTTGTTTTTCTTCTACTACTCTCCCTTCCCCCACTACACAAAATTATTAAGAGTTGTATCTATAAGTAAATTAAAGGGGGAAAAAAGGTGATACCAAAACCATATCTCTTGCAAAACTCAAGATCTTAAACAATTTTAATGTCATAAGCAAGAAGGCCTCCAATGGAAAATCCAAGATAGAAAGACACCTTTTCTATGCTCCGCCCACTTCTAAGTTGACCTAAATGAGTGGGTGTAATTGGTATTGTGATTTTTTCATTGATCCCATACTCTATGTATAAAGAGTTGTTTTCAGCTCGTCCTGGTAAACGAACCAAAAGGTCCTGGACCTTTTCCTCTTCCCATACTTTTCCAGTATGCCACAAGGAATTAATATCTGATCCCTTTTCAAAATTTTCATCAATTTTTCCTTTGTGGATGAGTCTGTTCCTATTGTTACCTTTCCCAAGAAAGAAATATGCAATTGGTTGCTTTGTGCGATACATGCGTTTATATCGCCCCCTGAAAGCGTTCTCCAGTGCTAGGGCATACTTTTCCATTTGTTTAGAATCTTGATCTAGTTGTTGGTTTTCTGGCCAGAATAAAAGAGAGGCTAGAAAGTAAGGTTCTAGAAATTGGTAAGTCAGTCCTATTGGTTGCAGAATCTCTCGAAGCTGTTCTTTCAGCTTTTTAATTGGCTTCACTAACTTGGAGGTAGGGTTAATACAAGAGAGAATGATGCTGGCCAAGATAAAGTTTTGTTTTTCCTTTTGTTGGGTTTTGATAACACATTGCTCAAGAAGGAAAGTGTATTTGTTCACAATATCTTCCATGGAGCTCACAGCATCTTTTGGACTTTTGATAAGATATTCTAAGAGTCCAGAAAACTTGTCTGCTTTTAAAGCTTCTAGGCTTCTCCGAGTCCTTTCTACTTGTAGAGGTAAACTGAGCTTTGATCTAAAATTTTGATTTTCTAATTCTTCCATGGGGCCAAATATTTCTACATACTTCTTAAAGTATCCAGCCACCTTTCTCCGATTTTTCGTCTCTTCATATTGCTTTATATTGTTTCTGGGTTTAAGAAGGACAAAGTAATCATCAAAAAAATCAAAGGATTTTTTCAAAGAAGACTGCAGGTTAGTTAGATAAGGAATAAAATTCTTGAGTGCAGACTTAAACTCATTTTGATCTCCCGGGATATCACCATTTCCTGATATAAAGTTGACCATATCTCGTTTAGATAGTTCATTTTTGTTGTTAAAAAAAGGAATGAGTTGGAGCATCTGGATGGTGTAGAGGCCAACTTCTATCTCCCCTTGATAACCAGCTATGTTGTAAGTATCGTACCTCCTTTTTGACTTCTGATACAACCTTTCCTTCCCTTCATATTCTCGGTCTTCGGTTTGCTGTTGAGATTCTTTGAAAGCAATTGATGCGTGCTCCGCTAAATCTAAAAGCTCAGTTAGCTCATTCACCGAGATAATCCCATTTTTTATATTATCATCTATCCACCATCTTATTTTACTTTTGTAGACTTGACCTAGTGTATCTGAGATGTAAGAATTATTAGGCTCTATTATTCTTGCTTGTTTTGCCCAACGTAGAGCATTTTCAAAGTCCTTCTCTTTAAGGTAGAAATGTCTCGCTAAAGCTTGGCAGATGAATGCATTGGGGTTGAACCTACGGGTAGCTTCACATAATACAGCTTTAACTGCATCATTTCCTTCGTCTTTATGTAAAGCTTCAATGAATGGAGAAAACCAGTTTCCTGTCTCACCTTCATGTTCATTGCGCTGTCTTGTGAGCAGCAGTGTTTGCACATCTTGGAAAAATTTGCTTTTTCCTATACCAGTATCATAGAATAGATTTTCTGTTAACATATCCATCACAATTTTACTTTTGTTCAAGTTGTAGCTTCTCTTCAATTCTTCCAGCGAGAGAGTGGCAATCAAATGGTGAATGATGCGCACTCCATAGTAACTCCCGCATTCGATCACCTCGGATTTAATTAGAATTGTGGAGTAGGTACCCATCTTGTCTTCGAACTTTTCTGTCCCCCAGAAAGCCTTCTTGTTTGAGATTCCTAGGAAATGCTCACACTGTGAAAGGGAAATGGTAGTGTCAGGTACAAAAGCATTAAGGAGAGCCAGGAAAGCAAACAGCTTTGCTTCCTTGGTGGTAACATTTTGCCCTTTCAGAATGTTCCTGACCACATTTTCTATGTACTCTTTGTTAAAGTTGGTTTTCATGATCATAAAAGAATAAAAATCTTCAAAGTTTTTATGTTGTTCTTTGATTTCTGTCAGCTTCAACTCAAATGCTCTCTGTTCTTTGGGAGAGAGTTGCTGGACTAGGGCAACACTGTCTGGCATCTTTGCACTTTTCTCAGGATTTTGTGACCTTGTACAATTTAGAATGATCACTAGAGGCTTCTCATATCGAATGTGTTTGTTAGCGACAGCGGTTTGGATGGAGGCCTGAAGAAGGTAGACGTTGTCTTGTTCTTCAAAATCATCAACAAGGAGCAGCACAGGTAAATACTCCTGATGGCTTGTTGCTCCGTAAGTGATTAAATTTGTTACCTGTTCTCCAATTTCTGAAAAGTCCTCTGTCTTATTTTTCAACACAGCACATCTGAATTTCTTCCTTAGTTCCCAGAGAATATGCATGGCCAAAGTAGTTCCTCCACAGCCCGGATGGTGGTACAGGTGAATAATTTTTGCACATACTGGCTGAGAAGAATCTGCCCATTCTTGAATCTTTTTTTCAAGCTTCACATATTTATCCCTTTTGACAAATGATGAAGAATAGTTTTCAGAAGAAAAGTAGAAGTTCCACCAGGACACTTTGCCACCCCTGTAGAAGTCTTCTTCTTTGGATGTCTTGAATTCAAGCATTTTCTCTTTATCTTTCTCCAAGAGTGTACCTTCACATTCATTTTCACAGAGAATTTCCAAGGCAGTCATAATTTCTTCTTCCTTTTTCAGAAGGACAGTAGATGAGCCAACAGATGGCAAGAATCGCTTTGAAGACTGAGTTAAAGATTTTAATTTAAGAATGGTGCCATTTATCTCTGCAAGATTTAAAGTAGAAATGCTTTGGCTTGATAATTCATTTTGCTGTCTTGATAATCTTGCTTCAAGAAGGTCTTTCCATACCTGATATATCTTTGGGTTTACACAAATACACAGGATATTTTCCATTCCTTTGAGATCTTGATAGAAAGCACAGAAAGTCTCAATAAGGGGGTCTCTTGGGTCATCCACAGAGGACAGTAATAAAAATACTACCAAAAACTTCCCTCGTGGCATTATGTCATCACGTGTAAGAAATGAAATCAGTCTTCTGACTTCAGAAGCTCTCTCTCTTTGCCAGGATATTGAATCTAAGGGTTTGTATTTGTCACTTTCTAGGTCTAACCTGCCATTGCAGAAAATCCAGCTGGGTTGCTGGTAAAGGTTCAGACTGGAAATCTTCTCACTTACTGTGGTTTTTTCTTCTATAAATAGGCTTGGAAAGTGGAGGTTTGCTACTCGGCTTCCTTTGAATGCCTTGACCACACCATTGCTCTCAGACTCAGGATCAAACTCTAATACAGCAAACCATTTAATTTCCTTCAGGAAATCTACATGTTTGGTCTGATGTGGATGACATTTATTTGTTACAAGAATGTACCATTCATAGTATGAGTTATCTAACAGATCCCTATTTCCTGTCAACAGCTCAATTAGCTTTTGCCCCTCTCTGTTGTTTCCATTTAGTTTTACTTTAGATTTTTTTTCTGCTTCTTTCCTAAATTCTGACAATTGTTTTAAGTCTAATTTAAAAGTTTTGAAATCAGCTTTATTCCTTATGATGTCCTTACTTTTGGGTCCATCTCTTACAAAGACTGAGTAGTTTGGAACTTGTTGCCATGCTTGATTCTTTAAACATTGCATTTTGATTTGGAAGTAGTCTTCTTTGCATTCTGAGTATTGTGGAATGATATCCACTTCAATAACAAATTTGTTAGATGGAGTACTATTTGGCAGTAAAACTTCCACAAATCTTGGCTCTCGGATGCACTTCTTTGCTTGTTGAACTTGATGGACCTCAAAATACTGGGCTATAGTCAGATTGAAGTGGTCAATGAGGGCGTCCTTACTGACAGTGGTGAGCTCCACGCCAACAATCTCTCCTTGGGGTTTGTCTTTGACTCCAAAATGAATGGTGCCATTAGTACGTGAGTTCATACAAGCTGAAGCAAATCGGAAGACTTCATTGCTAAATTTCATCTTTATGTCCTCTTCTGTGGCTGTCTCTGTGTTTGTGAAGGCTTTGAATTCATGTATTGGGTCAATGAGATTGAGTGGTCCTGTTTCAGGCTGTAGGATGAAATGTAATTTGTAACGGTATGGATTACTGAATTCATTGAAAGGATATGCAATGCATGTTGGTCCTGGAGATGATTGCTTATCCTGTTGGACTGTTTTATATTCCACCAGCTCATTCTTTTCTGATTTAGAAGCTTTAGCCTGTGGACTTGCCGTAGAAGCATCAGCTTTATGTGAGTTCCCTTCTGGACTCACTGCAGAGGAATCAGCCTTATGTGAGTTCTCTTCAGCTCTTTGGTTTTGCTTTGAAGTCTCTCTACTTTCTGTCTGAGTTTTAGAAATATTTTTACTGTGTTTTGTCTTCTTAGGTGTCTGAGTAAAATGTCTTGAGGATGTTTTCTGCAATTCTTTGAATAACTCTTCTATTTGGATAGCTGGCCCATGTGTTATGCCCATTTCAACAAGATGTTTTTTATTTAACCACTTCAAGACTGGTCCACTAACGTCTTGTTCCATCAAGATATCCCTGTGCTTTTGGTCAATCCTGTGTCTTTCTAGCCATAGGTTTACATCCTCTTTTGTCCAGTCATCTGTGGCTTCTGGAAGGTTGAGTGTCTCTGCCATTCTGAGTAGCTGTATAGAGAAGAGAAAAAATTATGTTGTAGTTTATAAGTGAAAATGTGAAGCATTCCATTTTTAAATAGGTAAAATGTAGATGTCACAACATTTGAAAACTTTTTGACACCAGCTTATTCTATATCAACCAAAAAAATACCACAGCACTTATCCTTACATGAATTATAGCACGTTATTTCCAGTTCTCTTTTCTCTTTTCACTTTATATACTAAATGTATGTTGGGGATGCTGCCATTCATAGATCATGCTTTTTGTGGTTGCCACTTATAACATGTGTTTTCTGTATTATTAAGAATATTCAACTCTGCTATATAGAAGAAAAGTATGTGTTGTAGTACGGTTTAATTTCAACTCTGGGGTTTCTTTCCCACTTTTGATCATTCAGTTCCCAGATAAAAGACACAAAACCTTTATATTTGTGATAAGCCTTTAAAGCACTCAGGCTAGACAGATATCTACCCTCTGAGCTGTTAGAATCTACTTCCCCATCAATAACCTCAAGTTATAAATTGCCATGTTTTATCTGGGCTGCTCTTAACTCTAATTGACTAGTCCTCATTGCCACGTTTTCATGACTCACCTACCCCATGATGTCTTCTCCTTTCTCTAACTTCTCTTCCTTTCAAGGTCTCCTCAGACCCCAAGCCCAGGACTTGAAACCACATGTACCTCTCTTCTGCCCAGATATAGGCTGTCAGCATCTTTATTCAACCAATAGTTTTAAATTAAGGAGCAAAGTTACATAGCATCACTTGGTATAAGTGTGGATTCTCTTCTCCCTGAGGCAACCAGAGCCAATATTTAACATTACAGTCTATAGCAACAGACCAAACCTCAAAAAATAGGAAGCTAAATGTAGAGCTAAATATAATTTCCTTAACTTTCTGTGATAGAGCCAAAAAATTAAAACATATGAGTGTTAAGCATAATTAGAAAGAAGTAGAATAACCAAATATTAATTAAAGATTAATGATAGACATAAAACACTTAACATATTGATGTACTGATCGGCTTTCCCATTTGATAAACTACTCTGTTGCTTTGTGTTATCTACTCAGAAAATATAAATCCTAGGGTAGATTATCAAGGTACTTGACCTTTAGCAGAGGTCAGACATAGTTACTTGTCTACATTTTTCTGGTTAGAGAAAGTGTATGCCATTGACTGAGAAAGTTTTTCTACTATTGAATCCCATTGTACAGACCTAAAATAGGAACACAGGAAGAGAGATAGGTTTCAATAGTTCAGACAAGATGAAATTGGGTGCATTCTGAATGGTATTTTCATAGGCAGGCTTCAATATTTTAGTCTAATAGCAAAAGGATATTATTATATGGACATAAGTTGTATACATGTGGTAAAATATCTAGAGAAATCATTTTAAAAGCTATGAAAGTAATACACTAAAACATTCATACAAATGTAATAGAACAATTCTCAAGTAACTCAGAAGAACACAAAAAAATAAGAGAGAAAAGGAAAATTGAGAATACAGAGAGCACAAAAGCAGGATTGACTCGTAACATATCAATAATCACTTTCACTATAAATGTTTTATATGTAGAAATTAACAACACTGAGTTGGTAGGTTGGACTAGAAATATGACCACACTGCATCCTTTTTATATGATGTCCAATTGAAATATGAGATGAACACATTGAAAATACAAGTATACATAGATTTATATCATTCAAATATTATTTAATAAACATAGAAGTAATTATACTAACTACAAAGTAACTACAGACAAAGTAGATAACAGTATAAAGAAAATAATCACAGACGGGGGTATTAAATATTGATAATAGTTCACCCAACAAGATGTCACAGAATTCCTAAAGGTATTTGCACTAGTCAAAACTGTTGGTAAATGTGTGATGTAAACACTCATAGGATTTTGCAGTTTTAAGCAAATCTACATGTATAACTGAAGGCTTTAATACCTTTCCTTGCCTTAACAATTGATACAATAGTTAAACAGGAATAAGAAACATACAAAAAAATTTAACATTACCAATTTAACATCAGTATCAATCAATAGGCTGTAAATTGCATTTATAGAATACTCCAAGAAATACAAAATACCATTTTTAATAGTCAAGATTTTCTATTTCATAAATTATAAAGCAAACTTCAACAAATATAAAATAATTGAAATCATACAGAATGCTTGCCAAGCACCATGTAATCTTTAAGATTTTAATGCACTTATTTAATGAATTTTGGTATATATTTTATGTGAATGCACATGATGGACACACAATTGTCAGTTTAATGGATTTTTTAGACTTACTATAGAAACAAATATTGGGACATTGTAGTAATTTGAATAAGCCTAGCTCCCCTACAGGTTCATATATTGAAATGCTCAGGGAGTGACACTATTTAAAAGAATTAGGAGGTGTGACCATTTTGGAGAAAGTGTGTCACTGGGGCGTAGGCTTTGAGGTTCTTAAAAACTCAAGCCAGGTCCAGTGGGTTGATTATTATTGGTTGTCAACCTGATTACATCTCAAATGAACTACAATCAAGTACTGGACTGTTATCTTAAACGTAACTACAATGAATGAATCAAGTACAACTATGAGAGATGTATTGCTTGGTTTAAAGTAGTGAATCTACTTCTAGTCCAGATTTTTGAGTAGGAAGACACACTTTTAATCTGAGTCATGTCTTCTAATGGATGTCTGTGTAAAGACACAGAAGAAGAAAGCTTTTTCTATTTGCCTGCTTACTATTACCTTGCTAGCAAGTTCATTTCTTTCTCTGAGACATCCAGCCTGTGGACAGAGCATTCTTGGACTTTCCATTCTCAGACAGCTATTGTTGAATTAGCTGGACTACAGTCTGTAAATCATTCCAATAAACCGTGTGTGTGTGTGTGTGTGTGTGTGTGTTTGTGTGTGTGTGTGTGTGTGTGTGTGTGTGTTTGTATGTATGTGTGCATATGTTCTTTGTAGCAAACCATCCACTGGAGTCTCTCCTTCCTCTCTGCTCCTGTTCTCATTGGTCATGCATATCTTCTCCTACAGCCTGCCTCCACTGCCTCATCCCTTTGTCCTACCACCTATAGCACCTAACAGCACCTATAGTTACTCCCTGGAAATCCTCTCGCCATGGTGGCCAGGGAATCAGATAAGTGATCATCACGGTCCCTCCTCTTCTCTAATTATAACCATCCATTTTTACCCTCAGCTTTATAGCAGAAAACCTGCTGTGGCTTCTTCTCTGCTCCCATATCCAGGAGTCTACATAGAACCTGGTGGCACACCCAGCTTTCCTCCCTTTTATGGACTCTCACAGCTCTTCTAGCTCATCCACATTTCTTAGTGTCTGCTCCTAGTACCTCAAAACAATTTGGAACCCTTAGCGGCCACACCTGGATTTCAGAAGCACACCCACCCAGGCAACCTGCAGACACCACACTGCCCAAAGAACCCAAAAGAACAGAGGAAAACCAGGACTGGAACTCTCATGAAACAAAGACAAGACCTAATATCAGCACGATGATCCCAAACCCAGATGCCCAGATACCAGCATAAAAACAATAGCAGCCTTATTTTATAGTAAATAATAACAGCCAGGAAAATATGGCCCCACTAGAGCCCAACAGTTTTATTACATAGTATGTCTCGAGAAATGCAATATAGCTGAAGCACAAGAAGTGACTTCAAAATAGCTATTATTAGCATGTTCAAGGACCTTAAAGAGAAACTGAATAAATCCCTTCATGAAATCCATGAAAACATATAGTGGAATGAAGTGAAGAAAATAGTTCAAGACATGAAAGTTGAAATGGAAACTTAACTGAGGAAAAATTGAAAATGAAAAATGTAGGAATTCATCTAGGAAGCTCAAGAGTAAGACTAATAGAATACTAGAAATGGAAGACATACTCTCAGGATTTGAAGAAAGAAGAAATCAATACCTTGATGAAAGAAAATGTTAAATATGAAAAATATAGGCACAAACATCCAGGCAATCCGGAACACTATGAAATGACTAAATCTATAAATAATAGAAATAGAGGAAGAAAAAGAAACCCAGGGAAAAGGCAGAGAAAATATTTTTAACAAAACCATAGAAGAAAATTTCCCTAACCTAAAGAAAATGGTGTCTATCAAGGTGCAAGGAGCAAACAGAATACCAAATAAACTGGATCTATTAAAGTAATACCCAAGTTTTCAATGCAGACTGTGTCTGTCTGTCTGTCTGTCTGTCTGTCTGTCTATCCATCCATCCACTTTACATCCTGATTGCGTTTTCCCTCCCATTTCACCTCAGTCCTACCCTTACACATCCTGTTCCCCATTACCACCTTTCTCCCCAGAGAAGAGACAGCCCACCTTGGATACTGTTCTACCCTGGGACATCCAGTCGAAATAGAACTAAGTGAATCTTTTCCCATTGAGACTTAAAGAGGAAGTCCACTTAGGGGAAGGGGATCCAATGACAGGCAACAAAGTCAGAGACAGTCTCTGCTCCAGTTGTTACGAGACCCACATAAAGACCAAGATGCACTTCTGCTACAAGTGTGTAGAAAGCCCTAGGTCCAGTCTTTGCACACCCTTTAGTTTGTGGTTCAGTCTCTGTGAGCTCCCATAGGCCCACGTTAGTTGACTCTGTAGGTCTTCTTCTAGTATTCTTGACCACTCTGGTTCACTCAATTCTATCCACCACTCTTCCAGAAGACCCTGTCCCCATCACCACCTGATGTTTGGCTGTGAGTTTCTCCATCTGTTTCCATTTGTTGCTGGATGAAGTCTCCCAGGATACAGGCTAGTAAGTCAGCTTATTTAAGCTAGTCTAATAGTTATAGCTAAAAATACATATTGACTCTCACACACTGATAGTGGGTGACTTCAATACCCTATTCCCACCAATAGACAGGTCATCCAGGGAAAAAGAAATGTTGAAGCTAACTGACATCATACACCCAATGTACCAACAGATATTTACAGAACATCTCACCCAAACCTTCTTCACCAAACATTT